ATATATATATATATATATTGTTAAATTGACATATGAATTATTAATAAAAAACCAATCTAGTATAATAACTACTCCCATATATATACACACACACACTACTACAACTATTATAAGATATCTATATTTATTAATTAAAATAAGGTAACCAATTAATATATATATATATATATATATATATATATGTATATATATATATATATATGGGTATGATGTGGCTCAGTCCTGTCTTTGTACGGTTGTATTTCTATTAGAGGTCTNNAATGTGTAGTTATTTTTTATATATTTATATTTTCAATTTTTTTTATCATAACTAATTATGAGATATCTGTATTTATCAATTAATATATATATATATATATATATATATATGTATATATATATATATATATGGTAGTTTTTTATATTTTATTATTTTTATTTTTTATAGATATTTAAATTCAAATATAATAACTAATAACTAATTATTAACTAAAAAACTAAATAGTAACTAATTATGCCATGTGGCTTTTTTTTATGCTGCCACTTGGATTAAGGAGAGGACTTTATCCTCTCCTTTTAATAATATATATATATATAGATTTGGAAGGGGTAGTTTTTTAAGGGGGATTTGCATCTATACCCGCTTTTTGGGTCACGTTTTTGTAAGTTATTTTCTACGTGTATATATGGCCCAATAAGATTATGCCCATAATTAACATTTAATTAATGAGCAAATCTCATCCGTCTGATCGGTTATTTGGTGGACGTACCGGATTAAATGAGAACCTCTATAAATTGGTCATCTCCCCACCCATTAGGGTTACCGTATTTTTCCTCTTTTCCATCACTAAAGGCGGCGGTAACGAAAGCTAGGGCAAGGGGCGAGAAACCAATTTACCGATTAACGCTTCCACTTCAAGATAATAGATTCCGCTTCAGGTATGTTTTCTATGACGATTAAATGTAAGATTATCATGTTCAAGATCCTGGTATGAATTATAGTTTATGCTTACATGTGGTATCACGAGC